TGCCTGTAAGTGTCTCTCTTGGGCAATTAAGATGGAATAAAGCTTGCTTTTTATGTTTACACGATGCTCTAAGAGAAATTTTGCCAAAGTGGAAGAAAAGCGATGACGAAGTATATTTGTGTGTTGAATTTCTGCCTTTGGCCATACCGTTTTAGATGAAGGAAGAAGCTTGTACCTGCTACTAATAACATGTCACTATCACCATACCAAGACTATGTTATGAATATCACCTTTCTTGATTGTCCCAACTCTTCCATTACTTTTAGCCCCAACACACCCAGGTTGTGGGTAGATTCCACGAAGCCCCTCGGCGCTCAGCCCACAGACAACAAAACTAAATTGGAAAAACACACGTCAGTGAAGCTGTCAAACTCTCCAGCCTGTCTCCACCTCCCTCCGCTTACCTGCCCTGGAGTTCCCTGCACCCGAGCTCCTCAGTGTTTACTCAACATTTATATTCTCTAAGCTCACTTATGCCTCCCCACCTGGTCTCTCAATGCCACACAAGGTAAAACACCTAGAAAAAAAAAGAAGGCATGTAAGATTATTTCTCTCTTCCTACTCATATCAGGCACAAAATAATGGACCTTCCGGAGCTTTGACCACGACCTCATCTGCAATCTCTGGCGAGAATGCACCATCCCCTAGCCACCTACTACCACCCGATATCCCGCGTCCGGAGAATTGCTGTTCGACACCATAACCGCATCTGCCCATACGGCGTACTGGTCATAAGAACAACAGCTCCAGTCCCAACCATTGTAAAAATTATCAATAACTCGTAAGCAACCAGTGGTCGTACTCCTCGTCAATCTTAAATACCTATTGCACTGTCACTATGTTGAAATGCCCTGTCATTATAGACAGCATTATGTCACTTTGTATTATTTCTATATTATTTATCAGTCTAAGAGACCTATTCTACCAGTAACTGTATATTTTCAGCTTTCCGGCTGCCATGCTTCTTTCAATAAACCGTTAATACATACATATACATATTATACCCATATATTATTATTATTATTACTATTATATATATTATAAATATATTACATACATATTACATATATTATTATTATTATTATTAATATTATTATTATTATTATTATTATTGGATTATTATTATTATTACATAATATTATTATTATTATTATTATTATTGCCATTACACATATTATTATTATTGGTTGGTTATTACACACACATGTCATCACATGGAGCAGGTACCACAACTTAGAGATGCCTGCTGACTTGTTCCGGTGTATCCAGACTTGGAGCCGGGAGAAGATCTGAGGCACGTACACATGCATATCTTATGTACCAAAGTGTAATGTCCGGGATCCACAGTTTGCTGGTAGAGGGACAGGTAGGTGTTAGTGACGGTAGCAGGTGTTGGGGATGGTGGTGGGTGCTGGGGATGGTAGGTTGGGGATGGTAAAAGCAGATGGCAGGTGTTAGTGCATGGTGGCAGGTGCTGGGGGATGCAGCAGGTGCTGTGACGGTGTGGGTGTTAGTGGGATTATGCAGGTGCCATTGACGGCAGGTGTTGGTGACGGCAGATATGTTGGTGATTGCAGAGGCGTTAGTGACGGTGCAGGTGTTAGTGGATACCAGAGGTGTTGTGACGGTGGTGGTGCTGAAGGATGGTGTGGGCGTTGTACAGGTTGCACGGTGGCAGGCGTCAGATTTGCGGGCGTGCCAGACGGTGGTAGGTGTTGTTAAGACGGTGGCAGGGTGTTGGGTGATGGTGGTGCTGGACGGCAGAGGTGTTGGGGACCAGCAGGCAAGAAGTGACGGCAGGTGCTGGGGGACGGCAGGTGTTGGGGTTGGTAGAAATGAGGACGGCAGGTGTCAGATGGTTAGTGATTGTGGGTGCCAGATGGCAGCAGGTGCTGTGACGGTAGAAAAGCTGGGGACGGCTATGCGTTAGCCTGGCAGGCGTTGGGATGGCAGCAGGCGTCAGACTTGCAGGTGCCGGGGAGATTTGGTGGCGGCGTCAGGATTTGGTGCAGGGTGTCAGGGATTTGCAGGTGTCAGATTATAAGGGTTGTGGACGGCAGGTGTTGTGACGGCAGTAAGTGCTTGGGGTGACAGCAGGGCCCTGTGATTTATGGCAGGTGTCAGATTTGGCTGCAGGTACAGATGGTGCAGAGGTGTCAGGTGACTTGCGGCGGCGTCAGGATGGTGCAGTAGGTGCCAGATTTGGCAGCAGGTGTCAGATTTGCAGTAAGTGTCAGATTTGGCAGGCGTCAGATTTGCAGAAAGTCAGATCATAAGAAAAGCCAGACGGCGGCAGGCGTCAGTATGGCAGAGGTTGTGATTGGTAAGGGCTGGGGCCGATGCAGAGGCGCTGCATTTGCAGCAGGTGTCAAATGGCAGGCAGAGGTGCTGGGGGTCATGGCAGGTGCTTGGGGGACGGTGGTGTTGGGGAGGCGGCAGGTGCTGGGGATAGTGGCAGGTGTCTGGAGGTGTGTGTCAGATGGTGGTAGGTGTTGGGGATGGTGGTGGCCTTTGGGGGATTGGTGGCAGGTGCCAGACGGCAGGCGCCAGACGGTGCAGGGCGCTGGGGACGGCAGAAAGTGCCGGGGACGGTGGCCTGGATCGCAGGCGATGGCGACGCGGTGCTGCCAGACGGCCAAGGTGCCAGGGGATTGCGGTGGCGTCAGGACGGCGGCAGGCGCCGTGATCACGGCATGGTGGCAGGCGTGCTGGGGATTGCGGCAGGCGCCAGACGGCGGCAGGCGCTCAGGATGGCACGTGCTGGGGACGGCAGGTCTGGGGACGGTGGAAGGCTGGAACGGTGGTGGAGCTGGGGCTGGCGCAGGCGCTGGACGCAGGCGTCGTTAGGGTGACGGTGCAGGCGCTGGGGGATGCGGCAGGCGTTGGATGCAGGTGCTGTGACGGCGTGGCGCTGTGATGGCAGGCGCTGGGGTCATGGCAGGCGCCAGACGGCGGCAGGTGTTGGAACGGCAGTGCGTCAGGATGGTGGCAGGCGTGGGGACGGCAGGTGGGGACAGCAGCAGGTGATGGTGCGAGGCGCTGGGGGACGGCGGCAGGCGTCAGATGGCAGGTGGTGGCAGGGGACGGCAGGCGTCAGACGATGACAGGCGCGATACAGCGGCAGTGCGCCAGACGGCGGCAGGCGCCGGGGACGGCAGGCGCTGGGGACGGTGGCAGTGCGTCAGGACGGCAGGCGCTCAGCAGACGGCACAGCAGAGGCTCGGCAGGACGGCGGCAGGCGTTGGGGGTCAAGGCAGGCGTTGCGACGGTGCAGGCGCTAATGACGGCAGAGGCGCTGGGAGACGCGGCAGGCGCCAGGACGGCAGCAGGCGCTGGGGATGCGGCAGGCGCTGGCGGACGCGGCAGGCGCTGAGTGACGGCAGCAGGCGTCAGACAGGCAGTGCTGGGGACGGCGCAGTGATTGCTGCAGGCAAGCCAGATTTACGCAGGTGTCAGGCCGACGGTCAGCCGTGACGCGTGCGCTGGGGACGCGCAGGTGCCAGACGCGGCAGGCGCTGGGATGGTGGCAGGTGTCAGACGGCAGGCGCTGGGGACGGGCGCGAGACGGTGCTCAGGACCGATGCAGGCGCCAGGACGGCGGCAGGCGTCACGACGGTCGGCGTCAGACCAGCAGGCGGTGACGGCGAGGCCAGCATGGCGAGGCCAGACGGCGGCAGCGTCAGACGGCAGGCGCTGGGGGTCGGCGGCAGGCGTCAGACGGCGGCGTCAGGATGGCAGAAGGCGTGAGGGCTGGCAGTGATGCGACGGCGCAGCAGTGCTGGGGGGTCACGGCAGGTGCTGGGGACGGTGGCAGGCTGTCAGACGGTGGTGGCGAGGTGTTGGGGACGGCGGCAGGTGCCAGACGGTGCAGAGGTGCTGGGGACGGCGGCAGGCGTTGGGGTCACGACAGGCGCAGAGGTGCGGTGCTGGGACGGCAGGTGTCAGGACGGTAGCAGGTGCGAACGGCAGCGTCAGACGCAAAGCTGGGGACGGTGGCAGGCGTTGTGATGGCAGGCGTCAGGACGGTGCAGACGTGCGCCGGGGACGGCAGGCGGCCGAATGGCGGCAGGCGCTGGGGACGTGGCAGGTGCCGAAGGACGGCAGCAGGCGCCAGAATGGCGGCAGCAACAGACGGCAGGCTTCAGCAGACGGCAGAAAGCTGGGGACGGCAGAGGTGATACGGCGAAAGTGCTGGGGGATGGGTGGCAGGTGCTGGGGGTCGATCTGGCAGGCGTAAAAACACAACCACCAGACGGCAGCGTGCTCGGGAAGGCTGGCAGGCGCAGGGATTGCGCTGGGCGTCAGACGGCGCAGGCGCCGTGAAAACGGCTGCAGGCGCCTGGGGGCCGCTGCAGGCTGTCAGGGTCGGCTGCAGGCGTCAGACGCTCGGCGGCTTCAGACGGCGGCAAGTGTCAGACGGCGGCAGGCGCTGTAAATGGCGGCAGGCGCTGGGGCGTTGCGCTGTTGTGGGGCTGGCGGCAGGCGTCAGGTCAGGCCGCAGGCGCTGGGGACGGTGGTGGCTGGGGGATGCAGAGGGTGCCAGACGCGGCACGCGTCAGGGAAAAACCAACAAACAAGATTTGCAGGCGCTGGGGGTCGCGGCAGGCGTCAGGTCGGCTGGCAGGCGTTGGGGGAGATTTATCTAAGGCGCCAGCATGCGGTGTTGCAGCATGCGTCAGCACAAAAGGCAGGCGTCAAAATACGGCAGGCGCTGGGGATTACTGGTAGCGTCAGACTTGCAGGCGAGCCAGACGGTCAGGCAAGGTGACGGTGGTGGGCTGTGAACCCAGGCAGGTGCTGGGGCTGGGTGGCAGGCGGGCTGGGGCAGACGGCAGGTGGCTGGGGAACGGTGGCAGGCGTCAGTACAGGCACAACGTCGGCATTGCAGGTGCCAGCCATGGCAGGTGCTTTGTGATCAATGCAGGCTGTTGTGATGGCAGCAAGCGGTGGGGTGTCACGCAGGCGCAAGGCCAGATTGCGGCAGGCGTTGCATTGCCAGGATGTTGTGCCATGGCGGCACGTGCTGGGGGGAAGGCAGGTGCTGGGGACGGCGGCAGGTGCTGGCATGGCGCACGCAACGTGCTGTCGCTGGGCAGGCGTCAGTGACGCGTAGCTGTCGGACGCGGCGTAAGCCGGTAAATGGCGCGCAGGCGTTGGGGTTGCGGCAGGTGCTGGGGACGGCGGCAGGTGTCAGATGCACTGGTGGCCAAGACGATGCAGGCAGAACAGCAAGTGATGGCGGCGGTAAGGGCCTGGAGACGGCGGCAGGTGTCACGGCGCAACAATGCGAAAGACACTGGTGGGCGTCAGACGCGCGGCAGGCGCTGAAGACGGCAGCAGGCGCCAGACGGCGGCGCCAGACGCCAGGCGTCAGGTCGATGGCAGGCGTCACTGCCGGGCGCAGAGGCGCGGGCGTTGGCGCGGCAATGCGTCAATACGGCAGGCGCTGGGGACGGCGGCAGGCGTCAGACGGCGGCAGGCGCTGTACTGGCAGGCGCGGGGGTCCTGAGGACGCAGGCCATTGCGGCGGGCCAGACGGCAGGTCAGGGGTCACTGCAGCAGCCGCGACCGCAAAGCCAGGCATTCGCGGCGGGCGTCGGGACGGCGGCAGGTCAGGCAGGTGTCAGTGGCAGGTCAGGGGACGGTGGTGGGCGTGCTGGGGACGGTGGGTGCTGGGGGTCGGCAGGTGCTGGGGGACGGTGGGCGTCAGACGGTGGTGGGCGCTGGGGGTGGACGCAGGCAGGCGGCAGGGGACGGTAGTGGCCAGGCGGGCGGACGGTGGCAGGTGCTGGGGGTCAAGTGGCAGGTGCTGGGGACGGCAGGTGGGTGTGACGGCAGGCAGATGGGAGGGCGGCAGGCGTGCTGGGGGTCAAGTGGCAGGTGCTGGAGTGGCTGCGGCAGGTGCTGGTGGACGGCAGCAGGTGCTGGGGGCTGGCGGTGAAAAGCTGGGGACGGCGGTGGGTGCTGGGGACGGGTGGCAGGCGTGCCAGACGGCAGAGTAAGGGCCGGACGGTGGCAGGAGGTCAGGACGGCGGCAGGCGCCGGTGACGCGCGCAGGCACAGACGGCAGGCGCTGGGGGACGGCAGGCGTCAGATGCGTGGGTGCTCAGACGGCGGCAGGCGGCCGGGATGATGCGGGTGCGCCAGACGGCAGGCGTCAGGACGGCGGCGGGGCGTCAGACGGCGGCAGGTGCCGATGACGGCAGGTGCCGTGCAGCAGGCGCTGGGGACGGTGGCAGGTGTCAGGGGTGGCGGCAGGACGGCGGCACGCCGGGGACGGGTGGCCTTGGGGACGGCGGCAGGCGTGCTGGGGACGGTGGCAGGCGCCAAATGGCGGCAGGCGCCGGGGGATGGTGGCACGCCCGGGGACGGTGGCAGGCGCTGGGGGACGGCAGGTGCCAGACGGCGGCAGGTGCCAGACGCTGGCAGGCGTCAGATGGCGGCAGGTGTCAAATGGCTGCAGGCGTGCCGTGACGGCGGCAGGCGTCAGGGGACGCAGGTGGTGCGCAGACGGGCGAAGGTGCGTGTGACGGTGGCAGTGGCGGGTGATGGCGTGACGGTGGCAGGCGCTGCAGAGGCGGCAGGCAGTGCTGGGTACGCAGCAGGCGTCAGGGGACGGTGGCAGGTGCTGGGGTCGGGGCAGCGCCGAGGCTGCGGCAGGTGCTGGGGTGCGGCAGGCGCTGGGGATGGCGGCAGGTGCCGGTGATGCGGGCGTGCTGGGGTGACGGCGCAGGTGCTGGGGACGGTGGCAGGTGTTGTGACGGTGCAGGCGTTGGGACGGTGGCAGGTGCTGGGGCTGGCGACAGGTGCAGATGGCTGGCGGCAGGTGTTGTGACGGTGGCAGGTGCTGTGAGACGGTGGTGGGTGCTGGGGATGGCGGCAGGCAAGCGGGAGACGGTGGCAGGTGTTGGGGACGGTGGTGCTGGGACGGTGCAGGTGCTGTGGGACGGTGCAGGCAGGTGTTGGGGACGGTGGTAGGCGCCAATGACGGCGCAGGAAGCCAGACGGCAGCAGGCGCTGAGTGACGGTGCAGGAGACAGACGGTGGCAGGTGCTGGGGACGGTGCAGGCGTGCTGTGGACGGCAGGTGTCAGATTTGCGGCAGGTGACGGCGCAGAGTGCCAGATGGCAGGTGTCAGGGCCGACGGTCGGTGTCAGACTGCGGCAGGTGCCAGACGGTGCAGGTGCTGGGGGACGGTGGCAGGTGCTGGGGATGCAGGTGCAGACGGTAGCAGGTGTTGGGGATGGTGGTGGGTGCTGGGGACGGTGGCAGGTGCTGGGGGACGGTGCAGGTGCTGGGGCTGATGGTAGGTGCTGGGGGACGGCGGTGGGTGCTGGGGGATGGTGGCAGGTGCTGGGGACGGCAGGTGCTGGGGATGGTGGCAGGTGCTGGGGATGGTGGCAGGCGCTGGGGGTTGCAGGTGCTGGGGATGGCAGGTGTTGGGGACGGTGGTGGGGTGCTGGAGGACGGTGGCAGGTGTTGGGGACGGTGGCAGGTGGCCGGGCGGTGGCAGGTGTCAGGATGGCGGCAGGTGCCAGGGGACGGTGGCAGGTGCTGGGGCTGCAGCAGGTGCCGGGGACGCGGCAGGCGCCGAATGACGCAGGCAGGTGTCAGGACTGCAGGCTGCTGGAGGACGGCAGAGGGCAGATGGTGGCTGCGCAGACGGTGGCAGGTGCTGAGGATCGGCAGGCGTTGGTGATGGCAGGTGCTGGGGGACGGTGGTGCAGGTGATGGCGGCAGGTGCTGGGGATGGTGGTGCGCTGGGGGTTGATGGCTGGTGCTGGGGGACTGCGGCAGGTGCTGGGGGACGGTGGCAGGTGCTGGGGATGGTAGGTGTTGGAGGAGGCGTTGTGACGGAGGTGCTGGGGATGGTGGTGGGTGTTGGGGACGGTGGTGGGTACAGACGGTGGCAGGTTGGACGGCGGCAGGTGCTGGGGAGTGGCAGGTGCTGGGGCTGATGGTTGGTGCTGGGGACGGCGGCAGGCGCTGGGGACGGTGGCAGGTGCTGGGGGACGACGGTGGCAGGTGCTGGGGACGGTGGCAGGTGTCAGACGGTGGCAGGTGCTGGGGGTCGGCGCAGGTGTGGGGATGCGGCAGGCGGGGGACGGTGCAGGCAGCTGGGGGATGGCGGCAGGCGTCAGACGGCGCAGGTGCAAGATGGCAGGCGTCAGACGGCGGCCGAGCAGGTGCTGGGGGCTGCAGCAGGCGCTGGGGATTTGCGCAGGCGCTGGGGACGGTGGCAGGCGTTGGGGGACGGTTGAGGTGCTGGGGGACGGTGGCAGGTGCTTGTGACGGTGGTGATAGGTGACAGCAGGTGCTGGTAGGAGGCAGACGGCGTGGGTGCCTGACGGTGGCAGGTGTTGGGGGACGGTGGCAGGTGTTGCCAGACGGTAGCATTGGGGATGGTGGCAGGTGCTGGGACGGCGGTGAGGTGCTGGGTGATTTGCGCAGCAGTTTCGCGTAGTGCAGGTGGACGGTGCAGGTGCTGGGGACGGGTGGCGTTAGTGGACGGTGAGGTGCCGGGGACATGCAGAAGCCGGGGGATGGCAGGTGTTGAGGTGACGGAGGCAGGTGCTGGTGGCAGGCGTGCTGGGTGACGGCAGGCGCTGAGTGACGGCAGGTGCTGGGGACGGTGGCAGGCTGCTACGTGACGGCCAGGTGCTGGTGACGGTGGCAGGTGCTGTGACGGCGGCAGGCAGGGCGCAGGTGATGGCAGGTGTTGGGGACGGTGCAGGTGCTGGGGACGGTGGCAGGTGCTGGGACGGTGGCAGGGTCTGCGGGGGACGGCAGGTGTTAGCGGGATTTGCGGAGGTGCGGGGGATGGTGGCAGGTGGTGTTAGTGACGGTGGTGGTGGGTGCTAGTGGACGGTGGCAGGTGCTGGGGACGGCGGTAGTGTCAGCAGATGCGGCGGCGGCGCGAAGTCCAGGCGTGGTACTGCAATGGGAAGAGGCGCTTGGGGACGGCAGCAGGCGCTGGCAGGCGTCAGGGGATGCAGGTGTTGCACTGGCAGGCGCGGGACGGTGCAGGTGTCAGACGGCGGCAGGCGTCAATGACGGCAGCAGGCGTCAGACGGCGAGGCGTCAGACGGCGGCAGGCGTCAGACGGCAGGCGTCAGATTGCGGCAGGCGTTGCTTGATTTGGCAGGTGTCAGACGGCGAGCAGGCGTTGTAAAGACGGCAGCGCGTGGGGGTGAGCGGCAGGCGTTAGCGGAGCGGTGGTGCGGCTGGCAGGCGCGAATAGATGCAGCAGGCGTCAGACGGCGGCAGGCGTCAGGACGCAGGCGCGCTGGGGGATTGCGAGAAGGTGTCAGCGATTGCAGAGGTGCGGTTGGGGATTGGCGCAGAGAAAACAGGCAGGCGTCAGGGGACAAGGCCGAGTGGATTGGCGGTTGGGGGATCGGCGGCAGGCGCTGGGGATTGCAATCAAAATGGCGGCAGGTGCTCAGGCGACGCGGCAGGCGTCGGGCGGCAGTGTTGCCAGACGGTAAGCGTCAGTGACGGCAGCAGGCGCTGGGGACGGCAGGCATCAGCAGACGGCAGGCTTGCAGACGGCAGGTGTCGAAGTGATGGCAGGTGCACAGATGGTGGCAGGCAGAAAGCTGGTGGTAGCGCCGGTGACGGGCGCCAGTCGACGGCGGCAGGTGGCCAGACGGCAGGCGTGTCAGACGGAGGCAGGCGGTTGAGTGACGGCAGGCAGGCCAGACGGCGTGACGGTGTCAGACGGCGGCAGGCGTCAGAGCGTGCGATTTGCGGCAGGTGTTGGCAGGCAGGTGGCGGTGAGGACGGCGGTTAGCGTGACGGCAGGTGCTGTATGAAGGTGCCAGGTGACGGCAGGCGGCGGTGTCAGACCCGGCAAGGCGGTGCGTTGGGGATGGTGTCAGCGCGACGGCAGGTGCTGCACGGTGCAGGCAGGTGTTAGCGACGGTGCAGGTGCCTGGGATGGCAGGTTGTGACGGCAGGCGTTGGGCGGCGTTGTGACGCAGCAGACGACGGTTGCAGAAAGCCAGCGACTGCGGGCAGGCGTCTGGGCGGGTGACGGCAGGTGCTAGACGGCAGGCGTTGGGGGACGGTGGCAGGCGTCAGATCCACGACGCTGGGGGACGGCAGGTGTCAGCGGACGGCGGTGCAGGCGGCGGCAGGTGCTCAGACGCAGGCGTGCTGGGGGACGGTAGGCGTTGGGGCACGGCAGGTAGGTGCTAGCGGACGGTGGTAGTGCCAGTAGCGCAGGAAGGTGATGAGGGGAGGGGTGGCAGTAGTGATGTCGCGTGCGCGAGGACGGCGGCAGGTGTCAGACGCGCCAGTGGGCGGTGGCAGGCGTTGAGTGACGCAGGTGGCGCTGGTGGCAGGTGCTGAGTGACGGTGGCAGGTGCTGGGGACGGCGCAGGTGTTGGGGAGATGGTGGCAGGTGCCGAGGATCGGCAGGTGTTGAGGACGTGCAGGTGTTGGGGGACGGTGGCAGGGTGGCAGGGACGGTGGCAGGCGCTGAGGGATGGCGGAAGGTGCCAGATGGGCAGGTGTTGGCACTGGTTGGGGGATGGTGGCAGGTGCTGGAGGGACGGCGGTAGGTGTTGCGGGGACGGTAGGTGTTGGGGATGGCGGTGGTGTTAGTGGAAGGTGGTAGGTGCTGAGGGATGGTGGTAGGTGTTGCGGGATGGTGGTAGGTGTTGCGGGATGGTGGCAGGTGCTGGAGGACGGCGGTAGGTGCTGGGGATGGTGGTAGGTGCTGGGGGATGGTGGCAGGTGTTGGGGGATGGTGGTAGGTGTTGAGGGATGGTGGTAGGTGTTAGTGAAGGGGTGGTTATTTATGCTGGTGATTGAAGTAAATTGTAACAGATGTTATTAGTGAATAGTAGACTAGTAGATGGTGGATAAGACAACAACCATACTAGGAGTTATATTGCTGCACAACAAATGATAATAGAATAATTAATAGAGTAATAATAGTAATATATGTATTTAATGATATGATAATAATAACATAGTAACAATCATCATCATCATCATAACCTTTTAAGTATTGGAGCACGTAGTGAGTATCACTGAGTGATTGACGTTCAGTGAGTAATCTTTTGAGCATTGGAGTACCTCAGAGTACCTTTTGAGTATTGAGTGCCAGAGTACCTTGAGCATTGAGTCGTGAGCACTTTATATTGACGTTCAATGAGCACCTTTAATATTGAGTGCTGCGTGAGTACCTTTAAAGTATTGAGTGCATAATGAGAACTGAGTGGTTCCTGAGTACCTGCTGAGTGTCGGGTGCAGAGAGATGAAGCCCCTCATCGTCAGTGATGTTGGGAGGGGGCAAGAGGCGCTCGTCGGTCCACGTCATGAGCAGCTCCATCTCCACTGTGAGGCCCTCAAGATAAACGTTTCTCACACACACACACACACACACACACACACACACACACACACACACACACACACACACACACACACACACACACACACACACACACACACACACACACACCTACCATTAGAGTCACGAGATAACTTAATTGTTCATTGTTTTGGTGTGTAGACAGCCCCATCCATCGTGTCTGACTAGTTAAGCATATATTTGCCGCTGTTCTACGTTGAAGGGAAAACACTAGACCTTGAAGGCCTTGTCTGGTCCTGCTGACGCCCGCAAAGCCTGCAACAGTACTGCTACGCTAACTTGTGTTTTTTGTATCCGCTGAGTTGAGGCACAGGGTTCTACTGTGTCATGGCTCACGTTTGTGTAGTTAGTCTGTTCAGCACTTAAGTATTCATTATGCTACAGCGCCCACAAAACATGTGAAACGTTTGAGTCTTCTCAGTAGAGACGTCCGTCTCTATCCACTTTAGGATGTCTTAGTCCTTCGTTTTCCTTTCGTGTATTCGCTCAGGGACTCTGATATTTTTTAATTAACTCAGGATGTTCAGGGAATTTGAAAGTGTGAGTGAATGAATTTATTGGACAGTCAATTAGGCTTCACCCACTGTGAGAGGAAAGAGTCTAGATGTATTGAGTATATGTTGAAGGCATCTGGTGTCTTATTTGTCGAGTATTTTGTGTTAAGATATTATGTGTCGAGTGCTCTGTTTACCAGTTGTGAATCTATGTCTCGTTTGTTCTTACGCGGCGGCCGTTCGTAATTGAAGTCATTTTGTTTTGATATATCAACATCAGAGAACTGATGGAAACAGAAAGTGTTGTCAGTCTTGTATTAAATAAGTTAGATAATTATCTGAAATGTAAAACACAAAAACTTATTTTTCGCTCGAGTTTAACAGAAAGTCTCAGTTATCTTGTAGTGGATTCCTCCCCACAGCACCGAACCTTCTCGAATTCCCCAGCTTACGCCTCCAGCGCCGCCCACGGAGCGGGGGTCAACTATCTACCCACGCCTATCCCCGCCTTATAAGGCCTGACACAGCTGTGACCAGCTTCTCTTCTACTCAGTGCCACCAGCAACACCTCCTCCCGCCAGCGACCTGGCGCCCTGCCGCGTGGCCCTCACTCTGGGCACCTCACCACCCAGCTCTCTACCTCAACGCTTAATACCACGCTACCTACCCAGCAACAAGCTGGATTGTACATCCAATACAATATGTATACAGTGAGCACACAGAGAGCTTTTCCATCCCATCCTGAGTGTGAACCAATATTACTATAAACCCAATACCTGCTGAGCACTGCTGTTCTGAGTATTTGTCGTTGTTTTGTTCTTGTCCTTGAGAGCCTATTCACTACTTAAATTTGAGAAGTGAAAATTACAAGATTGAAATGAGTTCGTAGCCTCATTTTCATACACCGCTGTGTAGAGCAACTTAGTCTGTTGATTTACTTTGTGTAAGTGACTCGACAACTCAGGGTTGGGAGACCGTCCAGCTCTGACCAGACCTCACTCTAGTCCACGAATTCCATCCGTACACAGAGAGAGAGAGAGAGGTTGCTGGTCGCATCGACCACGGGACGACGCCACACTAGAATTTGGAGATGGATGAAGGTCACTAAGGTCGGATATCGTTGCCAACACGGTTATGGGGTGAGCTGAGATCTCACCCATAGGCCTGCAGCCAAAGCTCACCGGCCGCGCTGAGTTTGTTCTCAGTTTAATTTACAACTTTTCCAATTTCCAGACTATCTGTTTACTTTCCAGCCTGGCTGTGCCTTTGAGCCCCAGCCTGCCATCCATTTCACCAATTAAGAAAAAATGGCCTGGCCGCCTGGACGCGTTCACGTCCGCGATGTATACATGACCCGCTCACGTAGTGTTGTATGAATCCACTGCTACAGGTTACTTTGGGTGTGTTATTTGTCCGAGAATGCGTGTGTATAATCTCCTCAGTGCTAGAGCTAGTAAGAGTATGAGGTAAGCCACTTGTTCTTGGCGAATTGTAACCAGGGTAGCTCTACAGGAAGTTAG